GGGCCCGCGAGAGGGCCTCGACTTCGGCCTGGAACTCGCGGTCCATCTGGCCACAGTCGCCCGAGAGCCTCTTGATTGCGGCCCGCGACCCGTTTTTGAAATCGGCCCGATAAACGAGCCCGAACCCTCCGCACCCGATTATGTTCGACTGGTTGAAGTTGTTGGTCGAGAGGAGCAGATCGGCAACCGTGAGGCCCTCGCACGCAGCGTTTTTGAAAAAGACGAGCTTTGGTGGCCCGAACGAGTCCGAGAATCTTGGGGGCTCGACTGGGGCTTGTTTTTCACCTTTTGTCCATATCCGGAATAAAACAAAGGCCAGGATTAAGGAGATTCCAAATCCGATTCCTACCGTAATCCCGATTATACTATTCCGGCCGAGTTTACCGGTCGACCGGCGTGAAGAACCAGCCGAGCCCCCCAAACCGAAACCAGTACTTTTAACAAGACAGGGAGAAATTAGTTTCCCACAGAGGCCTCGATTTCCCTCGAAGCTCGAACTGGGGAAACTGAAGAACTGGCCGCCAGTCGGGATCGGGCCTTCGAGGTGATTATAAGCAACACTAAATCTCGAGAGGAATGTGAGCCGGTTCAACGAGATGGGAATCGGGCCCACGAGTTCGTTGAAGGACAAATCGAGCGTCTCTAGATTCAGCATCTCTGAAATCGAGCTTGGGATTGTCCCGGTTATATTGTTCCGGCTTAAATCCAATACGTGGAGCTTCATCAACCGACCGATTTCGGGCCAGATGGGTCCGCTTAACCGGTTGTCGTTCAGCAGTATAGATGGCGGGAAGCTCGAGACCTGATTGTACTGCAAGCCGCTCGAGCTCTGATTCCTCTTGACGAATAGTGGAATAACTGAGGACATGTTGTTGGAGCTAAACGGGCATGTAGTCAGGTTCATAAGGCCCTTGAGACTGGTCAAAGCCTTCGGGATTTGACCGGTCAACGAATTATTCGAGAGGTCCAAGTAGAAGAGTGAATCCATCCGGTCAATCCAAGAAGGGATGGTGCCTTCTAGATGGTTCCACGACAAGTCAAGCAGCTGTAAATTTCGACAGTTTTGGAGCCAGCTCGGGATTTGACCGGTCAAACCGCAGTTAGCGACAGCTAAAAGGGATAGCTTTTCGAGCCCGTTCACATCCTCGGGAATTTGCTCGCCGTGGAAGTTGTTGGTGAGTATGAGTGTCGTCAGATTCCGGCAATGACTCAACACAGATAACGAGTTCGATAGGTTGACGAGCTTGTTAATCGAAAGCGACAAAAACACGAGAGAAGAGAGATTTGCATAATCTTGAGGGACTTGACCGGTAAATTTGTTCCGGGCGAGGTTCGCATATTTCAATCCCCAGCAAGTGGAGAGGGATTGAGGTAAAGGGCCCGAAAAACGGTTCCCGCCTAAATCGAGGGTACAGAGATTAGAAAACCGAGAGAAATCGAGATCGATCGGGCCAGAGAGCGAGTTGTTTCTGAAATCGAGCACGTCTAGTTCGGAACAAAGTGCCAAAGTCGAGGGGAGTGAACCGGAGAACAAATTTGAATGCACGTCGAGATGCTCGAGTCGAGTCAAATTCTCAAACACATCGGGAAATGGGCCGGAAAACCGGTTGCCGGAGAGAATTAGGGTTCTGAGATTGCTGAGCTTGCCGATTTTCGGGCTTATCTGGCCCGAAAAGTTATTTGTGGAGACTGAAAGTACCTCCAAGGAAGAAATCGAGTATAACGACTCGGAAAGTTCTCCCGAGAAGGAATTGGAATTCATAATAAGCTGCTGGAGAGAGGAACTGCTGCAATTGTTGTACAACCCGTCAAGCCCACCGGTAAAGCCATTGGACGATATATCAAGAGCTCGAATATTTTCAAAGAAATTGCAGTTTAGCGAGCTGAGTTGCCCAGCGAACAAATTGTTACTTATGTTC